TAAAAAGGTCAGCACCACAGGTTGTCCAGCTTGCATTCTAGACAACTAACAAAACCCCTCAACAATTTAACCATAATTTAATAGATCTATGGCATTTGGTTTACATATGTTATAAAGCAAAGCTATATAAACAAGGTAATTCGCTTTGCTCACTTTTGCACACAAAGTAATAGTTTAATAAAATGAAATCCAAACAACATTCTTTTAAAACCAAAACCATCCTCCCAAAGTCCAAAGTCCTAAATCCTAAGCAGAGAGGAGACTTAGCAGTTGAAAGAGTGGTACATGGTATAAACCTTGACATACTTTTACATTCACTTCAATCAGAATAGGAAAAGTGAACGCACTTTATATATATAAAGCAAATTTATATATATAAACAGACTAACTACAAAAAACAGTTAGTAAAAGCAAACAGATTTCATGGTGACACACAGAAGGAATCAAAGCTATAATATTCTCTCCCCACTGCTGTGTAACTCATTACCAGCAACAGGATTTAAGAAATAAAATAGATTACAGCTTCTTGGTGTATCCAGCAGAGCTGCCAATCTTATTCTAATATCTTTCTCCACTGGAATCTGTGTCTTGCCAGATCAACCAGTAGGGATACTTTAGCAAGACTCTCCCTATCCTTTCCCCAGCACACTGCCTTTTATAATTTGAGCAACTTAAAAAAAAAAAATAATCTCCAAACAACCCAGTCTCCCTCAGAAACAAAGAATACTTATGTAGTCTTCTGAAGAAACCATTTCAAATTGATTTCCAGAAGGTCAGGAAAACTAAAAGGCTGTTACACTTTTACTGAAGATTATTAAAAGCATAAAAGATTAAAAAAATACATTAGTAGTGTGCTTGTTTGTGTTGCACTTAGAATGCAGTATTTTAGTCAGATGCATTAGACATTGCATGAATTTCCATACTAGAATCCATAGTTTCAGAAGCTGATGCATCATTATCTACTTTTTGTTCCACAAACGCTTCTGCTCTGTCTGGAGACTCTACCCTGTTTCTTAATCCTGTTACCCCAGGGTGATTTTTTCGCAAATGCTGGTTTAGTGTACCCTGGAAAGGAAAACATTTTCCACAGATCTCACAGCGAAAGGGCTTGTCATCTGTGTGACCACGGATATGATACTCCAGCTGGTCCTTGCGGGTGTACTTCTTCCCGCAGAACTTGCACACGAAGGGAGTTATCCCCATGTGCAATCGCATGTGCCGATCAAGGCTCCCTTTCTGATTGAACGACTTCCCACAGTAAATACAAATTAGCCTCTCATTGTATGGATACCAATGACCTCTTGAATTTCTTTCCCGTGGACTACTTTCATATCCTGCATTACTCACCATAGATTCGCTATCAGCCCCTTGCACCAAGCCCTGAACATCACTGTGCAAGTGACCACTGGATACCCGTTTTTGGCGTGCACGACCACCTCTGAAACAGCTTAGCATTGACCTTGAAGGACTCGTATTGCTCAGGCTTCCGAAGGTTTCAGACATACCTGTAGCCTGTGATGAGGCATGGGTGAAGGAATAAACATGTTGTAAGACAGACCCATATGAGCCAACATTCACTGCCACCACTTGCTCTCCATCCACCATTTCAGTATGATATCCATCATCACCAAGGGAAGAACTATCAGAGCAGCTTGGCCTGTCAGACTTCTCCATTTTAACTTTCACCTCCGCAATCTGACTTTCCCTTACCATAAGGTCTCCTTGATCATGATCACCTTCAATCTGAATCTCATATTCAGAGATACTCCCACTGCTTCCTCGATCTGAATGCCCTTCTTCTTGCAGACGACTACGCAGAGTTTTGCCTGGAGCAGTTTCCATCCTAAGATCACTGCCTGCTGTTGACTGTCGCACCTGAGAGCAATATGGGGGAGATATCTCAATGGGATTGGCAAAGTAGCTGCTGTCCTTAACTCCATTGCGATTTTCTGAATTTTCTTCAGCACCAACAGTGACAGAGTCAACATCACCAACACTGATCTTTGAATGAATACTCTCCAGTATCTGTGTGCATTTATCAATGACGCACTGCATCTGTAGAAAGCTAGCTGCAGTTAGAAAACTAACAACATCCTTCAGCTGTAAGGACATCCTTCCAGTGTAACAAAAAGAAAGCAACTGTTCAAAAACATTGGGATTTTTAATAACTGATATTGATAAGCCACTCATGGTGCTTAACGCTGAATGGTCACGGAAATATGGAGAACTGGCAGCTAAGACAGCTTTATGGGCTCGAAACGGCTGACCCTGAATATGCACAATTATGTCACATAGCTTTCCTTGCAAGCGGAGTTCGTTTAACTGGCTCAGAACAGTGTTGCTGTACTCGGGCACATCAAACTGAATGAAACTGCTGCTGTCCATTTCTACTGGTGTAAAGAGTAACCTGAAAGAAAAATGAGAAGATTTACAACTGAGAATGAATAGAGAGTTGTCAATTTCAAAAGTAAATGCTTGCACATGTTGAAGTTAAATCACCACACTGATCTATTTAAGTTGTATCACAAAAAACAGTTGGTATAAACACTCGATATAATACAAAAAGTAGAGTCTTAATCTACCCATTCCTTACATTCCTCTAATTTGAACTGTCCCTCCACAGCATTCACAATTCAATTGCTCATACTACATCACAGGCTCCCTGGGACAGACTATGTCCTAGAAGGAACTGCACAATTTCACTCCCTGGTAAGAACTGTGGAACAATACCCCCACCATCCCAACACAGCATTAATTTTAGAGTCACTACGCAACTTAAACACTTCAGAACCTGAGGGAGGTCTTCAAGCCAGATACTGCATCAATACTTGCAGGGAAATGCATTGTTAAATTGCCTACGAACAATTTTTGGAAGTTACTTCATGAATTTGAAAAACCTGCTAAAGAAAAGCCATAGGCACATATGTGTCTCTGTGTATCCATAAACAAATATTTTATAATAACACTCCTTAGGTCTAGATGTGTAAAATTTATTTCAGATGAGATGAATACACTACACTAGTGACATTTCTGTTTAAACACCTCTCTCAGAAAACAATCTCGATAATTATTTTTTAAAGAAAGTAACAATCATTCTTTCAATATTCACATCAGAAAACAAGGATATCCTAGTGAAAGGAAACATTTAACTGTGAACTCAATTCCAAACTATTTACCTAGTATGTCAGATGTTCCCAGATATTAATAAATTTGTGTCAATATGTGAGGTAGCATTAGAAGGAAAAGTTTCTGAGGCAGCCATGGATTTTTAAAATTTCCTTTTGCGGTTTATTTTTAATTTAAAAAAACATGATGTGAACTTTGAAGCTCATCTGACAGAACAATGACTTCCTAGCTGGAATGATTTGACATTTACTTCTAACCTAACTCAAGAGCCACGGGTACTCAAACTTCCCTGATACAATGGGAAAGGATATTTTAAGAGGCTTTAGAGAAATGTATGCATTTCAAAACAAGATCTACAGAAAAGCACTTTACCAATTTTTCATAGAGTATTATCATAAAAAGCTCTCATACACTTGTTCCTTTTACAGTGTCTATCTGTAGAAAACATGACCTTACCTTTCCAAGACTGGGCCCCCAGTTGAGTGCCAGAGAATCTTAAGACTTTTATTGCTATTCTTTTTGTTATTAATGCAGATGTCTAAACACATAGTATTAACACCATACCTGCTTTTCCAATTGAACAAACAGATCTCAACATCATCCACTGACTTCTGATGTAGGAAGCATGTCCAATGTATCACAACATAGTACAGGATTTTTTCTTTCTATTTTTGTCTTATGTTACAGCCACCTTCCTGACTTGACTAACGTTATGTCTGATTTAGGAAACTGTCAGAAAATCTCAGAGGATTCAAAATCAGGTTATCATACTTTCCAAACACGTTCTATAAGTTACCAATGTATTATAGATTATTTCATTTGAGTTTTTAAAGTTGTTACATAAAATCAAGGAAGAGGATGTTTTATATGCTCTTCTATCCGATGAGTGAAATAAAGACTAAAAGGTGGTCAACAGAAATGACACGATCACAGCCACCTATACAAAAAGAGCTTTGGCAGGAGAGTTCTTCCATTCAGGAAGCAAAGCTACAGAATGATGCAGAGCTTCTGAGCTGATGCAAGTCAGACACAGGTCAGAAATCAAACATCACAACAAACAACCAGAGCCCAATCTAACAATGGTGTGGTTAAATGGCAAGATTAAGCTTGTTATTCTGAGGATCCCTGCCCACTGTGCAAAGAACCGCTGTTCAAGCTCCTTGCAGAGGCACCCACTCCATTGGGAAGACAGAAGTCTTGGCAGTTAGGACACACAATTGTCAGCTTCCCCCTCATTTGACAGGGCAGCAGCTTCCTTACAAACCCCACATAGGTTACAACCTTTAATTTGTGGGGCTTATGAGCTATGCACAGATGCAACATCAGGGCATTCCTAATTAAGCTTCTCTTTGGCAAGTGAAGGAAGAGCTTCTGGTGACCTGAAGTGACATCAACTGTTCCCAAGCAAGTTACCTAGTTTGAGTGCTGTGTAAACACTACAAGATTAGTCCCCAGCAATAGTAATTTGTCAGTCCTGCATCATTTCAGAACCTTGAGCTAAGGAACCAGATCTAGGTCAAGACTGTCAAATCCCATCAGAAACTGGTATTTGTGTGTGTGTGTGGGTGCGCCTGGAATGCACAGGAAGATTGTCATATATATAGAAAGTGGCCTTCCTCCTTGCTCTGCACTTCCAGACAGAAGGAATGAGTTGAGAGCTGACACCTGAATAGAAAGAAGATGGACATTTTATGCCTTACTATGGAGGAAAAAATTACATTATTTTGACCATGGCATCTTAACATCTCTAGATGAATTCACATTCCCTAGTACAGGGCCATACACTGAAAATGGACTGTGAATATGTACCTAAGGCAGCATGGGAACGAGGAAGAGAGGTACATCAAGAGGAAAGGGATCTTCAGTGATCTTTGCACATCACAACTCTGTTAGAACACCCAATTATCTCAACAGACATACATATCTATATGCAATTCTACATCCTTGCTCTCATCTTTCTTTTGGGAAACAAGCTTATTTTCCTTAAAATGTTAGGAGTAAACAGCACAATTGCTGGTAGTGAGTGGAAAGGATGGTGGAATTAAAGGTCTGTTACTCGTACTGTCAGTGTAGCAGGTAAGTAGTAAAAAACAGAAATGGGGATCGAGGGAACATAAACTATTGTTTTGAGAGTAAATGGATCTAGTGCACAAAACACAACCCAAAAAACAGTGGACAATGGGTTTCTACACCCGTCTGCTCTTCGGAAGCGAACAAGCTACAGCACACATCTGTTGTGACTACTTTTTCACCTTAGTTTTCTCCTTTGAAGATGCACGCTTCTCATCATCTTCAAAACATCTGTAGAAAACGGGGGTTAAATAACAAGAATTTTGAAAAACAGCACTTTGCAGAAGGCAACCCTTCTTTTCCTTTCAGCCAGGCTCTGAAATCTCTAGTTGAAGAGCTCCTGCAACTGATGAAGATGCCAATGAACACCACATTCAGGAGTAGGCAGGACTGTAGCAAGAACAGCAGTAATTTTGCTGGGGTTAGTACCGGCGCATCCCAACTTTCTTGCATCACCTTGAGAAGGCAAGAACCAGGTAAAAATCTGAGCATTACACATGTCAGAGAAGTAGGCACCACTATCAATGTTTTATTGACGAATAAGGGTTAGAAAAGCAATCATTTATTTACATAAATCCCCAATGCCATGGTCTAGAAAACAAAAGTAATATTTAGGTTATATTCCCGTACACAAGAAGGTTTTATTTTATTTGTATACAAAATCAAGTTAGTAGTTCCATAATCAAATTTTGTTAGAATTATAGCAGGGTACTGTACCATAGCAATGCTCAATTATTTTCATCAATGCTGGCAGGCCAGTAAATCCTTCAAGACAATATGATTTATGGTTGAAGTATTTCTCAAACAGCCCTGGAAGATCACTACAGTTTGAATAGAAACACAATTTTTTTAATAGTTTCCTCTAAGTTGAAATGTCTAAGCTCTTGTGTTTTGGGGTGAAGCGAGTAGCATTAGACTGAAGCAGAAAGATACTCTAAAATGCAAATTAACTTTGGACACATCCACTGTATGCTCTAAAGACAAAAATTATCTCTACATTTAAGCAAGCAGTCATACCTTTGCAAAGCTATGAGAATGTAACTACTTTCATTCATATAACAATTCCTTATAGAATTAGCAGGGGTGAAGGAAAAAAATTAAAGCATAGTCAGAAGTCATGTCTAGTACCTCCTATATCTCAGCACATAGGGAAGTAACTGGTGTTCTTTGGGTCCAAGGCCACAGCACAGTTGTTCAGAATGAAGACAATTTAATTTGGATTACACAAACTCAAGCAGCTGGGCTGTAGCGAGACGTAAGAAAACTCACTGCAATGTCAGGTACTCCCATCGTTAAAAAGCGATGCGTTTTCTCTTGCTTTAGCTTCCATGCCTAACTGTGGGACAGTGTCATGTTAAGTTAAAGTCCTGTAAAATTTAAGTCCACTTCTGGGCACCTGCCTATGAACAGGCCCTCTCTTAACTTTCCTCCATAAGCAGATCATAGTGTTTTCATAGATACTATGTACCCAAGAAACTGGCTGAAGGCCTTCCTTTCTGGTTTTAAAGTATAGACCAAAACTGGATGCCAAGTTCACGAAGTCTTAGCATGGCTCTGTGTTGAGCCTCTTCTCTATTTCTGTAGGATATGATCCAGTCACACTGAAAAGAGTCATATCAATTCTCTTTTCATCTGCATTACATTTATTCATGAGGGTCTTACACAGCAAACATAGACCACAGTACAAATTTACTAGTAGTGGATAGCTGCCCTATGTCTTCAAACAAAACTGCTCATTGAAGTAACCTGTGAAGATGAGAGTCATATGCATTTAACAGGTCATTAGATTTCAAAAAACTTACTTTAAAAATTTTGTTCTATGAAAGCTCTTATTTCACTTAAAGAAAAAAAAAAACCAAGAATAGATGGTGACAAAACACATTTGGTATTTAATTTTACTGACATCATACAGTAACAGCAGGGAAGCATCATATAACTACAACACGAAGCTGTGTGTCTGCCAGTGCTGGATTAGTTTCTGCTTCCAAGTCTGCACCTGTTTAATTTCATTCACTCACTGATGTATAATTCGCCATTCTCACTGACAGGTGAATGATACAAATTACGCTCATTTTAACTCACACAAAGGTGTGAGATAAGATCCCTTGCATTTTCTTTTGTCAGCTCAGCAAGATGAGTTCCTTGGGGAAAAAAAAACACATTACAGATCATTACTGTTGTAGCATGTATCTGAAAACAGAAATACATAGAAAAGGTAGGAGATCATAAAGAAAATTAAGACTAAAATAAAAATAGTGCCCTGTGACACCAAGAATGAATACTCCATACACTACTGTCAAGAATACAGACAAAAAGCAAGAAAAGAAACATATATTTGTATTACTTAGTGAACTCTTCCCTTGCATTTTGTAGGACTCAATATTAGCTACACCATCTGTGAGAACTTAAGACATCACTGCAAAAAGAGTATCATCATCCAAGATAATTTAAACCTAGGAATGTAACCATATCAGCCGTGATCATGGAAGTTTTAGGGCAAAAACCCTTAGTTTGCATTTGCCTTGCCTTCAGATTACAACAGCCCAAATAATTAATGCTACCTGTACCAAAGGAAAACTGCGATCAGTTACGTCACAGTCTAAGGCATTTCTAATACAGAGCTCTTTAAATAATCTTTGAAAACTGGGAAGAAACTCATCATATAATCTTTTACCAGTTTATACCTCTCATAACAGTAAGGTATTACATTCTCTCTTAAAAGTCAAGATATAGTACCCTTTGGATGGCCTTAGGCAGCATGACACACGGCGCTGCTGCCTCACGGGAAATCTGGCCCCTGAAGTACAGTAAGCTTCTCTACAGCTAGAAAACAGACAGCACAGTAATCTAAAAAAACAAACAAACAAACAAAAAAATCATTTAAAAAGCTACTCTCTCAACATTTCAGGTAATTTTGTGCACAACTAAAACACACTTAAAATAATGTAAGCAGTACTATGTAAAGATGTAGCACTGGGGTTTGCATCTGTTCTTCCTAAATCCAAGCAGACGTTTTCTTAAGAATTCCCCAGCCTTTAAAGATTATGAAAGAGACTAAATTATTTTATATTTTTCTCCAATGAGATGATCAGATACTATTGTTTTTTACAGATTTAAAAATCTGTTGCATTTAAGGTTTTTCCAGAAACAAACTCAACAAATAAAAATAAAGCCTTGTGTGTTTTCAGCTCATCCAGGCAGTCTATGTTGTCATCTATACAACACAATGCCAGAGGCATTCTCCTGGTGACAGAAAATATACCTTATGACACACTTCTCCATGCAATTTATGTGCTAAAAGCATAGACATACATAGACACATATATATTCATAAATTCAAACCAAGCCCTTGAAACCACAGAAAGGATGACTGAGGGAATGCTTCTACTTGCTACTTACGGGAACGCCTGGAGCTTAAAGGGAAGGATATAGACAGGAAGTCTTTGTGTACTAACTAGGTTTTACTAAACTTTGACTACACTACAAAGAACTAACATTTAAAAGCTCTTTTACATAACATTTATCACAT